TTCCTGCTTCCTGTGTGCTGTGTGCTGCAGCAACGGCCACCGCAGAGGAGCAGCGTGGCCCCGGCGCCTGCCCGCGCAGTCAGCTGGTCTCAGTTACCACTCTCTGTCCACAGCTCTTGACATTTCAGACCAAGCCTTTTACTTGACAATCGGCAGACTTCCTGCCCACTTCAGGTTTTGATGAAACACCTTGTAAGTCCCGCTGGGGGGAAGGCAGGGCATCACTGCTCCCTCGCAGCCCTTGGGGTCCTGGGTTCGAGTGCCGGCCGGGGGGGGTCCCAGCCCTCTTTGTGGTGTCTGCATGTTCCCCCCCCCGTCCACATAGTGTTCTCCAGGGGCACCACGTACTTCCCACGTCCCGGAGACACGACCTGGGTTAATGTGTGTCTGAGCTGTGCCTGTGTGTCTGTGCGTCTAGTGACAGGCTGGCCTCCCATCCAGGGTCGGTCCCCGTATAGCTGTTTGGTGGACAAGCTCCCCCAGCAGACAGTGTGGGTTGCTGGGATCGGGGGATTGAGAAGCCCCACTGTAGCTGTCCATGTGGCGGCAGAGATGAGTACGGGCTCGCCTGTGTCACAAGCTGCGGGATTTTATTTCCCCTTCGATAAGCTAGCCACAGGCAAACCTGAATATTCGCTTTCAAGCCCTTTTTGGCAGCCCTGGTCTTATCACTCCGTCAAGATTGTCACCAGAAACTTCAGGGGACGGAAACGCCCAGGGAGGCTGGGAGAGGTGTCTTGCACAACACACTGCCTGTTGGGCTGCCTTCAGCAGAAGGGAGGAAATGTCGTGATCAGCTGTGAGGCTGAGCTCAGTGTGAACGGTCTGGAAGGCACAGCAGAGAGATTCACACGCTAAACTCACACACACAGAGGCACATGCTAAACTCACACACGCACACACAGATTCACACGCTAAGATCACACAAATGCACGCAGATTCACACGCTAAGTTCACACGCACACAAAGATTCACAAGCTAAGCTCACACACACAGATTCACACTCTAAGCTCACACACACATACAGAGATTCACATGTTTAGCTTACATACACAAACATAAAGATTCACAGACTAAGCTCACAAAGACACAGACAGATTCACATACTAAACTCATAAACACATAGATTCACACGCTAAATTCACATACATTCACACACTAAACACACAAATTCCCATACTAAGCTCACACACATGCACAAGCAGATCACATGTGAAACTCACACAGACACACAGATTCACATGCTAAAACACAAATACATGCACACAGATTCACATGCTCAAA